GAAGGAAAATGCAATATTTAAAAGAACAGAAATAATGCAGCAGAGATATCCACTGTGGGGTATCTGCCCAGCTCTCTCAGATTCCCCTCTCCAAAAACTCCTCCCCGAATACATAGGGCTGGAGCCGAGTGTCCTGGGCTCATGCTATGCTCCCGCGCTCATTAGCTGTCATACGAATCATCTTTCACTCGGTAGTTTTGCCTTTACATTCTCAGGGTTGCTGTGAGGGTTAGAGAAGATAATGCTGAGACCAGCACCTGACATTAGCACATAATCAATGTCAGCCATGATCCCTCAGCTCCATGCTTGGCATAACTGGCTGCGTTGGAACCAACATATCTCTCCCTGGGCTTTGGGGTTGGGATCAGTTAGTCTTTACGTGGGGCTGGACCTGGAGCTTGAAACCTCGGTACTTTGCTTTGAGGTCTGAGGAGCAGAGAATGAGTTTTAAAAGAGGAAAAACCAGCCTGAGAGGGAGAAAGTCCAACCTGGTTCCCCATCATTTCTCTTTCCTGCTTTAGGTTCTGGCTGAGTCTGCTGGCCTGTCTGCCCTGTTTCCATGGGACAGCAGTTTGGTTTTCTTTTAAAGTGCCCTTTGCATTTAGACTAACTCCAGAGGCCTTTTATTTGCAGTCGAGAACCTTACCCTATAAAAAAAGATGAAATGTGCTGAACAAGAAAAAGCAGAAGATGCGGACTTGAAAATCCCTGTGATTATCAGAGTGCAATGGGCGGAAATGTCCCAGGTGAATGGCAACATCTTCCCTTTGTCTAATGAATGAGCACTGGGTATCTTTCCCAGAAACTGTATCCACCTGCTTCTGCCCCCGCTCCCCTTGCATTTGATCCTTTTTGATTCAAAGGTTTTATTCCAGGGTTTTGTTAAAGAAAATAAAGGTACATAGCAGGTGGGTCCAGGGTGATTTGCAACCAGAGGCTGAAGTCTTTAAAAGGAAATGTTGTTAGTTTTAAGTGTCAAAATAAAAACATTGACCAGAAATGTTTGTCTCTCCCCCCACCCTCAACTCCACAATATCATGGCTATAACAATATAAAAAAAAATTTCCCTTTGCCCCAAATGAAAACGAAAAGGGATTTGGGAACCTGAGTCCTTATTCAGGTTCTTTTACCCTTGAATAAGTCACTTTCCTTTAAGGATCCCAAGAATCCATTCCCTTCAATCCAGACATTGTTCAGGCGAAGAGGGCCTCATGCCTAGATGATAACATTTTCATGTAGTTCAGTGCCTCCCATTAATTTTGACTGTACTTCTCAGACGAATTGTGCTGGCAAAATATAAGAGAGATTCTCAAAAAATGGATCCAGTGTTGGAGGTTTTATCATTTGGTCTTTGTGTCAGCAACCACCTCCAAGAGATCCCAGGGGCCCTTGAGCCAGCTGGGTGGGGAGGGGACGCAGACACAGCTCATGCTCTCAGTATAGATCTGGCTGGAACGTCTCTATGGGGTGAGGTGGGTACACACCCATACAAATGACATTCTGGAAAAACAACCTACCTGGATTGAAGTAAAAAATAATATTTAATAAATCCTGGTCTCCCCACGTGATGGCATTCTTGTACTTCTGGTATAGAGGGTACAGCATGTCCTCCCAAGCCAACCCTGTTGGAATCATGCTGTTCTGGAAAAGAGGAAACCATCAGAGCAGCTGAAGCAAAGCAAATCCATCTCTCCACTGAGAAACAACGTAGAGGTACTGGGCCCCTCTCCCCCCAAAAGCAAATAGAGGAGAGGTCCTGCTGACTTCAAGGCACAGCACAACGTGAAACAAGGCTGTGGATGGCAGGGTTGTAAATGTGCCCATGGGCACTAGATGGTCCAGGAACTGGTAGTTGGGACATGATTTCTACTTAGAAAATCAGGCCCCAGAATGAACCTCTTTCTCATGCTTCATCCTGACCTCTGCAGTGAAGGAGCAGAATAGGAATAACAGCATTACGGCAGCTTAAGGAAAAACACACGTTTTTTGTCTTAAAATAATAATTTAATTTAAAAAATAAAAGCAACACATTCACAGACTAAATATTCAAACAGCATACAAAGATCTAAAATACACTAAAAGTACTCATCCTCCTACAATTCCCATTTCCACTTTTCCTAGAAGTATCCACAATTAATAATTAATAGTCTCTTAGGTGTTTTTCTGGAAATTTCTGAGTTATAAAAGGAATCATACCCTACAATATCATGCTCTGTTCTATTTTATTTTTTTTCCACTTAATACTGTTTAGAGATCTTATTTATCTTACTTATAGATTTACCTAATTCTCTTTTTTTTGTTTTGTTTTGTTGTTGTTAAACCTCACCCGAGGATATTTTTCCATTGATTTTTAGAGAGAGTGGAAGAGAGAGGGAAAGACAGAGAGAAAAATCAAAGTGAGAGAAACACATTGATTGGTTGCCTCCTGCACGAGCCCTGACTAGGGCCTGGGGTGGAGAGGAGCCTGCAACCCAGGTACATGCCCTTGACTGGAATCGAACCCGGACCCTTTGGTCTGCAGGCTGACACTATCCACTGAGCAAAACCGACTAGGGCTACCTAATTCTTTTTAATAGGAGGATTATTTTTGACTAGTTCTCTATTTATGGTCAGTTAGGACCGTTCCCATTATTTGCTGGGATAAAAAATGAGGCCATGTACAGCCTTGTACAAATATCTGTGTACATAGGTAAATATACCCCGCGGCGATTCCAAGGACAGTCCCCAAGGGTTTCTGAAGCACTGGATACACACGGAGTTCAAACATGACAGGACTCAGAAATGCAGCTCAATGTTCCTGAAGGGAAACTCCGCTGAAGCTTTAGATTCAATAACCCCCTGGGCTTTTCCTGAGCAGACAAATATCCCACAATTCTCCAAACACCGTTCCCTGGCTCCTTCCATCCTTACTTGTCGATTTCCAAATCAGCACACTGACTCTCCGGAAAAGACAAAATTCCAAATTTTAAACAAGGAAAATAAAGTACTTCCTTACCTTGAACTGGGCACTTCTTATACGAGTTAAATTCATTAGCATGACTCCCGAATTAACTCCCGCAGAGCCATAAAAAGGGTGCTGAGCAAAGCGGCTGTACCAGCCGATCTTGGGGATTTCATGCTCAGGGGCCATGGCTGCAAGCTGGGTGGAGTTAAACTGCCGCAGGAGCTTCCAGATGTCGTCGACGGGTCTCAAAAAGAGAACGTCAGTGTCCACGTAGAGGAGCGAGTCCACATCCTTTAAAATCACCTTGTGTGTGACAGGGAAGGGAAGGAGGGAGAAAACAAGTCAGGGACAAAGGAAGTGGCCTGATTTCAATAATGCCACCGATTTTCATCAATTAAGGTTGAGTTTTAGAAAGGGTACCACTCTTAACCCCCATACCTCCATCTCCTGTGACTTGAATGGTAAGTACCAATCAAGGGGTAAAGACTCAGAGGAAGATCTTGATCTAGATTGGTCCCATTTCAGGGCCCAGGATTCTACTTGGTAAAGGCTGAACTTCCAAAGGAATGAAAACATCAGAAAATTACTGTGGCTCTGTCTTCTTCCCTTCTCCCATAAGGCCATCTGTTTTTCTCTTCCTGGAACAGTTAGGTCTCGCATCCCACAACTTGAAGTGGACAGTCTCAAAGCCAGCTCACGCCATGCTTTGGAGTAAGTATTCCGTCTCCGGATCCATTTGTTTCTAGTATTGATGGGTATGGCTCTGCGTCTTTTTGAAATATATTTTGAGCCAAGATTTAGACTTGGGAATAGGCAAACTTTTTCTCTAAAGGGCCAGAGAGTAAATATTTTAGGCTCGCCGAAACCGGTTTGGCTCAGTGGATAGAGCATCAGCCTGCGGCAATATATTTAAAAATAAATAAATAAATAAATATTTTAGGCTCTTTTGAACCCATGCAACTCTGCCATTGCAGCATGAAAGCATCCATCGACAATGTATAAACAAATGAGTATGACTGTATTCTAACAAAACCTTATTATTTATTCTAATAATACATTATATGAAATTTGAATTTCATATAATTTCCAAATCTCACAAAGTCTTCTTTTGAATTTTCAACATGGGAAATGTAAAAGCCACTCTTGGCTCATAGGCTATGATTTGTTACCCTCTGTTGCAGGTCATTCAAGCAAAACACTTAGTGAGTTCTCCTTTGCTAACTGCATATCTACCAGAGTTTGCACGAGTGCTCAAGACTACAAAGCTTTCATTAGTAACCGTGTAATCTGCCTTGCTTTGCCCTTGTTCCCCAAATTTAGTGGTAGATTAAACCAAAGAAGGATTTGAATCCTCCTGGATCCCTGGCCCAACATCATCCTAACACCATCACAGCCCTTGTTATAGATAGAATGCCTATGTCTTTCCAAAGTTCATATAGTAAAGCCCCAACACTGCCCCCTCCATGTGATGGACCTTGGAGATGGGACGTGGGCAGTCATTAGGATTAGATGAGGTGAGGAGGGCAAAGCCCTTATGACCGGATCGTGATCTTTTAAGAGACAACAGAGATCTAACTGTTCCAAGAAAAAAAACTAAGAGAGAAAGATAAGCGGCCTTAATGGAGGTTAGAAAAAACCGAGCCACAGTAATTTGCTGCTGTTTTCATTTCTTTGAAAGTTCAACCCTTACCAGAGAGTGTGTTCTCTCTCTTCACCATGTGACAACACAAGAGGAAGGCAACCTTCTGTAAACAAAACAGGGGCTCTCCAGAACCCAGCCATGCTGGCACCAGACTTCATTCAGGCTTCCAGGCTCCTGAACCCTGGAAAAAATAAGTTTTGCTAATTAAACCACCAGTCTGTGCTATGAAGAGCCGTTTGTTACGACAGCTGACAAAGGCAACCCTTCATTGAGATCCCCAATATGTAATCCCGAGGAGCAGGTGCAGATGACATGCCACAGACGCTTCATTCTTGAATAATTTAAAAGCTCACTTGATTAGCCACCGGATTTATCTTTCTCATCGACTAGAGGAATAGATTTTACAAACTAATAAAATGAAAAATAATCATCATCTACCATTTCATAAAAGATTATGTTGACATCCAGTTTAATAATTCACAATTAGGATAAATGCTTTAATTGAGGACACAAACTTAAAAAAACACACCAGCCTTTCTTTTTCCTCTATTTTTTCAAGGAAAGGGAACCACCTTGCCATGGAGGAGCATTAGTCTGCTGACTATTTTAAAGCACAACTACAGAGTACTGTCAAGGAAAGGCGGGCTCTACACAAGTACTAGTAAACTCATGTTATAATACTAATTCGGTGTCACATGTAAATACAATTATGAGGTCTTGCATGTGCAAGACCCATCCCAAGGACTCAATGTGCTGCCAATTTATTTTATTGAAAAGGAACAATAAAGCACAGAAAAGTCCTCTATTTAAATTCATGTGTCAAAAATGCTAATGATTGCTGGATTTTGGCTAATAAATTATAGAAAGGTAAAGTCACTTCCTAGAATGTGTTTAAGGAAATAAGAGACTGCATGGTGTTCCAGTGAAAAAGCTAATTTAGAAACTGAATCAGAGAGAAAACTATTCCCACTCATGTGAGAGAGTATATATTTGTCATCATGACTGATTAGCCAATAAGTTCTGAATAAAAATATATAACACTGATGTTTTAATCAATTAAGGGTTATGCAGACATCTGCTCCAAAAATTTAAAGTCAATGGGATTGATTAATTTAAATTTTTCTTGGCCTTACATTATTTTTTAAAAATATATTTTATTGATTTTTTACAGAGAGGATGGGAGAGAGATAGAGAGTTAGAAACATCGATGAGGGAGAAACATCGATCAGCTACCTCCTGCACACTCCCTACTGGGGATGTACCCGCAACCAAGGTACATGCCCTTAACTGGAATCGAACCCAGGACCCTTCATTCCACAGGCCGACGCTCTATCCACTGAGCCAAACCGGTCAGGGAGGCCTTACATTATTGTTGTTGTTATTATTACTTTCTTCAATAAAATAAATTTGTTGCCATTCCTCTTTAAAACAAAAAATAAAACAGACACACTTGAAGAAGGTCTTGAAAAGGAAAACTACAAATTCTGCAGGATTCCATCATGAAGCTACAGGCAATACCTTTAATCAACAGAGAAAAACACAAGTTGCCCCAGACTCGGTAATATCAGAACAGTCTCAGTATACAATTTAATCCACCAATATCCTATTCTGTGACATGCAGATTGCTCCTCTTTTTTACTATTATAAACAACAGCAAACTGAGTGTCTTTTTAGGAAAATTTTTAATCACATAATGTGGCGTTTGTTTTTCTTTTTAACTTAGTAAATATTTAGAAAATATTTACATGGTTAAAAAATAAAAGTATATTAAAGTAAATTTCCTGACAAGTTATTCTTCTTTGCCCTCTGTTACCAAGTCCCCTCCACAGAGGTAGCCAATGTCATTGAATTGCTCAGAGTTGTGCCAGAGACCTTCTGTGCATCCTGTATAAGTGTAGTATGAAAACTGTCCCTTCGACCAGGAGTTGTCTGGGAGTTCAACCAGGGGGCGGGGCTGGCCAAGGGAAGGGAGGGAGGCCCCATCTGGTAGCTGACAGCCGCTAGGGACCCTACCAGTGCATGAATTTTGTGCACTGGGCCTCTAGTATAAGAATAAATAGCTAGGCATATACAATTCCTCTTTTATGCTACAAATGATAGCATACATGATATTGTCATCTCATTTGTTTTATTTTTAAAATATATTTTTATTGATTTCAGAGAGGGAAGGGAGAGAGAGATAGAAACATCAATGATGAGAGAGAATCATTGACTGGCTGCTTCCTGCACACCCCACATTGGAATGGAGCCCCCAACCTGGGCATGTACCCTGATCAGGAATCTAACTGTGACCTCCTAGTGCATAGGTAGATGCACAAGCACTGAGCCACACTGGCCAGGTTCATTTGTTTTATTTTTAAAAAATAAAAAAATAAATGTAGAAGGACTTTTAATATCAGCAAATAAAAATTTCATTTATTATTTTTTATTCCTGTACTGTATTCCATTGTGTGGATCTACCAGAATTTATCTAGTTATCTACTGTAGAACACTTAGGTGTTTCTCAAGCTTTTTTATTACAATGTCACAATGAAAAACCTCATATTAATTCATTTCAAACACATATGAGTGTATCTTTAGGATAAATTCATTAAAATGTAATTCCTTAGTCAAAGAATATATGCATTTTTACATTTTCAAAAAAATTTTTTTTATTGTAGAAAGCATTACCTATGTCCTCTCTCCCCATTGTCCTCTCCCAGCCTGCCCTCACCCTCCTCCCAGCCCCAGCCGCCACACCCCCCATTGTCTGTGTCCATTGGTTATGCTTACATGCACACAAGTACATATAAGCATTGATCTCTTATCTCTCCCCGATCCCCCGTCATGCTCACACTTCCCTACCTTCCCTCTGAGGTTTGACAGTCTGTTCAATGAATCTGTGTTTCTGGATCTGTTTTTGTTCATCAGTTTATGTTGTTCATTATAGTCCACAAATGAGTGGGATCATGTGATACTTATCTTTTTCTGACTGTCTTATTTCGCTTAGCACAATCCTCTTCAGGTCCATCCATGCTGTTGCAAATGGTAACAGCTCTTTCTGTTTTACAGCAGCATAGTATTCCATTGTGTAGATATAACCACAGCTTTGTAATCCACTGATGGGCACATAGGCTGTTTCCAAATCTTCGCTATTGTAAATTGTGCTGCTGTGAATATAGGGATGCATATGTTTTTTTCTGATTGGTGTTTCTGTTTTTTGGGGGATATATTCCTAGAAGTGGGATCACTGGGTCAAATGCGAGTTCCATTGTTAATTTTTTGAGGAAACTCCATACTGTTCTCCACAGTGGCTGCATCAGTCTGCATTCCCACCAGCAGTGAACGAGGGTTCCTTTTCCTCCACATCCTCACCAGCAGTTGTCATTTGTTGATTTGTTGCTGATAGCCATTCTGACAGGTGAGATGGTACCTCATTGTCGTCTTGATTTGCATCTCTCGGATGATAGTGACTTTGAGCATGTTTTCATGTCTCTTGACCTTCCATATGTCCAGTTTCGAAAATTATCTATTTTGGTCCTCTGCCCATTTTTTTATTGGATTATTTTTCTTCCTTTTGTTAAGTTGTATGAGTTCCCTATAAATTTTGGAGATTAAACCCTTATCATATGTCACATTGGCAAATATGTTCTCCCATGCAGTGGGTTTTCTTGTTTTGTTG